GTTTAATTCTTTGGTTAACATTTGTGACTGCCTGAATACTTGTTTGAGAATATCTGGCATAAAAGTTTTGTTTAAAAATTTTATTATACAGAAAAAGTGTATGAATTTTATTTATATGTTGTCTGTACGTATATGTGTGTGTTTGTTTATATGTATGTATGTATGTGTGTGTGTGTGTGTGTGTGTAGATGTACACCCTACTAGCCTTATCTTTGCAACATTCAAATTCAGTTAAGAATACTAAAAATAAGAAATATGGCACTGCCTGAATAACTGTTGTACACAATGTATCAACAATAGTATGTATGTTTGACATAACTCTTCCAAATTACATAAATTCTCATTTTCTTCATTTACATAAATTATTTATAGTTTCAATCACATTGATTAATTAATGATCACAAATACTTACTTTAGTTATTCATAATGACAGAAGTTGTATTGTATAGCAGATATTTAAAATATTAAATATAATTTCTAGAGTAAATGCAATATGAAGTGCCAATGGAATTTACCAAATTTTTTCCAAGAAATGTTTCTGGATAAGATTGATTATCAACTAACTCATGTTGTTCTTGAATGCAAGACTGTCTCTTAAAGAAATAAGCTGAAATTTTCTTGTCTGTCCAGTCCATGAAGTAAACCATGTCTTTTTTTTTTATTATTTGACAGATTCGTAACTTAGGTGAAGGATCCAGCACGTGCCTTGATAGTCCTGCTCGTAGAGACGACCTTCACAAACCTGTAGGTCTCTACCCATGTCACAGGCAGGGTGGCAACCAGGTAAGTAACATGAGTTGATCCCTTTATTTCAGATCTTGATTCTGGCTTTAGATTGTGTAGTCAGAAAATTTCTGACATCTGGCTATGCTAGATTACAAAATTCTACTAAAATACCTTTGTAAACGTAGCTAATTTTCACTATTGGTGGATAACATAATATGGTTGAACTTAAAGCTTAGTTTATATATAGATATGTTTGCTTCATTGTTTGGTAAGTATCAGTTCATCTGAATCTGGACTGCTTAACTCTGATTGAAAGTTAAGATTGAAAACTCTTAAGACTTATAAATGTTTCTACACTGATGATGAATAGTTACCAAAATATCATCATTTATCTTTCTAGTACTTAAGATATATTCATATTTAGGGATATCTCTCAGTAAGTATCTTTTATATATCAAAGGAAAGTATTTTGCAGTATATCATTCTGAGGTTTGACATGAATCACTGCAGTTGCATAGATAGATATGCTCCTAACTAACCGTAGAAATTAAAGATTTATACCAATATAAATGTTTATCTTAAACCAAGAAGTTTACACAGTCGTAAAACATTCAGTTTGTATGTAGAAGTTAGTTACAAAATTACACTATAGAACAGGCCACAAAGTACATATGTTAAAGTGTAAACTAAGAAGAAAATGACAAGTAAAACTTAATGAAGAAAAGCTAAAGAAATAATATATTCTTTTAACTAGTTTAATATTTTTCTATTTAGCTTATTACTAAATCAAATAAATGAATAAAATTATTTTTAAGCGTATATTATGGTTTATACAGAGAGTTATATTAAAATGATTATGGATGTGCAAATCAGTAAGCCATGTAACAACCAAAGCTGTATAGAGGTGCGGTGAAACAGATTAGAAGGTGTTTTGTTATTAGTGTGATTCCACCAGAAATTGATATGTTTTGGGAAGGATATATATAACAGCTCAAAAGCTTCATACACTTCAGTTGTTGTTTTAGAATTTCCAAGACAAGGATAGCCCTTGTACTAAATGGTATTTGAAAACAAGGGAATATAGATCAACTTGAGGAACCAGAACCATCCAGATAAAGACCTGAAGCAAGTTGTGTCCCAGTTGTGGTATGCAAAGTGCAGTGTCTTGTAACAGGTGAGAATCAACAAATACAATGTTCAGTGGCAGAAGCTGTCCATGTGTCTCGGGCAACAATGCACAACATAACCTAGAAGGATCTTCATCTGTTAAAGTGACACAAGTGACCTTTACTCCAGTTTCTTCCCTGACATATCTATTCAACCAATTGCATATCTCAACTAGCTGGAGAATGAAACTGGTATTCATTCTCTTCTATATGAAGATATATCAAGTCACTAGATACAGTGCCTAAAGGTTTCTGTGGGATCACACTGTTGAAATGGGTGCAGGGAAACTACTGCCTTTATAAACTAAAGGGATTATGGAAAAGTAATCAGGGAGAAGTGGATATGAAAGCCTTACAACTGAGCCTGTTGCAGAGGAAACTATGCTACTTGAGTATTGTCAAAATACATGGTAAACAGACAGAACATGACTAGATGTAGTAACATGAACTGTAACGACACAATGGGGCTATAAAATCATTTTAATATAACATGCATATTTTAGTTTTGATCTATACAGGTAGCTTGCTTTGATCAGTAGTTAATGTTAAATACTCAACCTTATGTATGTGACAATATTTTCAAAATGTATGAAAACAAGTAGAAATTTCATGTTTTTCAATAATATACAGGTTAATATCTGTATACTTGCATTTTTTGCAAGAATAACAGAAATACGTTTTCACGGACAATATATTAAGAATATGTATGACTTCAGCATGTTTCTACTGCACATATCAATTTGTATTTAACGTTGTCAGTAAATATGGACTTTATTACACTTAACGTTGTCAGTAAGTATGGACTTTATTACACTTAACGTTGTCAGTAAGTATGGACTTTATTACACTTAACGTTGTTAGTAAATATGGACTTTATTACACTTAATGTTGCCAGTAAATATGGACTTTATTACACTTAATGTTGCCAGTAAATATGGACTTTATTACACTCAACGTTGTCAGTAAATATGGACTTTATTACACTCAACGTTGTCAGTAAATATGGACTTTATTACACTCAACGCTGTCAGTAAATATGGACTTTATTACACTCGACGTTGTCAGTAAATATGGACTTTATTACACTCGACGTTGTCAGTAAATATGGACTTTATTACACTTAATGTTGTCAGTAAATATGGACGTTATTACACTTATCATTGCCAGTAAATATGGACTTTATTACACTTAATGTTGTCAGTAAATATGGACTTTATTCCACTTAATGTTGTCAGTAAATATGGACTGTAACAGTGAAATAGCCTTTAAGATTTTTTTTTTTTAAAGTTTATTGTAAAATGTTCCAACAATTTATGATAATTATTAGTTAAAATTATATAGTACAATTACTTACATTAGGATCATAAATCCATAGCTGATTACCCATGGACCCATGACAAGGGTAGAGTATCACATCTTGTCCAGCATAGTCTAAGCAAGCTTCATCTCGTCTAATCTCTCCTTGTTTACTTAGCATCCAGTACTAATATAAAAAGCAGATAAAAAATCTCTCAGAATCATTCATGCTATGTTTGTTCTCAATTCTCTAAGAAAACAATACAGCAATTTTAAGCCAGATTATCATTATTTACTGAAATTTCAAACAGCCAAAAGTTTATTAGATTATTGCACATGCAACTATTTATTACCGATTTGGAGAAATATACGCTTTTCATAAAACTTGTTTTATGCAAAAACAAGGTTTTTGCAACCTAGAGTATTTTACCATTGTTTTTAAATTTAAATATTTTATCCAACTGCTTTTTTCTTTACCTTTTTTTATTTATTTTTTTGTCTTGTACCAGATTTTCTTCCATTCTTTTTTTGCCTTTTCCTGCCTGAGTTCTGAAGATAGTTCCTAGTCTATATTTTTGGTAGCAGTTTTCTATTTGTCTTAGAAATTATCTGTAATTCTTGAAACTTAAATGTGATGTTTTTCTGATAATATTCTGTCACAACAAATTTGAAGAAAAAAACCTCTTATCGTGCACCAATCTTGTATTGCAGTGGCTTGTCCATCTCACCAAAGATACTCTAGTGGTCTAATCATATTCCATGGGTAAGCTTACTGCGTGCTCCTCAGCGGTAAGTCTGTCAGCTTATAATGCCAAAAACCAGGTTTCAATACCCATGGTGGGCACAGCACAGATAACCCATTGTATAGCTTTGCGCTTAACAACAAACAAACAAAAGCTTATTGTGATAGAGGAGTTTGAATATTATCCTTCGGTGTTGCAATTTCTGCCTTCTTCAAACTTGTAGCTCTCTTGATTACTTTGAGTTATATTAACAGATTATTTGTTGCTTGTATCTAATCAGAAATGCTCTCGATATCCAAACTACTTATATCTTTCACTCTTCATGACTGTAATAATGAATAGTTGAATATCCTCCTCCCCTATTGGTGTTAATTGCACTATCTTTATTTATGATAGAACTTTATGCAGTGAATGTATTTTTTATCCTATATGTTATATTGGTACTTCACTTATTATTGATGCTTTCCTTGTGCAGTATCAACAATCCAATTTCAGTTACTTACACATGATCTTTTTGACAGTGAGTTATGGGTGGAAAATACCAGATTGGGTATCTTAAGCTATTTTTGGCTTCTGTTAAAAAGATATTGTTGTCAGTTTTCTTTCAGCTTTGCATCATTAATATTTTATTGACAGGAATCTTATAGAGCAACCTTGCATTTTGCTCTTCTTTTCCCCATCATTGAAATCCTGCCTCAATCCCATGCCATTTTAGTAGACCATAGTTTTTGTCTGTTTTCTTATGATTTCATGTAATTGTACTTCATTTTGGATATTTTTAGTATTTCAAAGGCTTTAAGTCTAGTGCTTTATCAGCTTGCATACGACTGTACTTATCTTATGAGTACATCTTTAATGCATGGCTATTCTTAAGGTTTGGATGTACTGTTTCCTTTCAATATTATGACTGAAATCATAAATCTGGCCTTGATGCCCCCTGGGCAGCCCTGTAATCTTCCTTCGTCTTGCCTGAATTGCCCACATGGAGTCCATAAAGGTGCATTTTGTATAGGTCTTTAATATTGATTTTTTAAATGACCCTGTTTGAATTTTCTGCCACATAGTTTCTTCAGCATTTAAGATTCAACCCCATAGTGTGACTATAACATTAAGAGACTGTTAATTTTTGAAGCTTATATTTTAGAAGTATGTATCCTTATTTTTACCAAACTTTACCTCATTAATGTACGAGAAAACTTAAACCAAAAAAGGCAAAGAAGAGATCCTTCTGGTGTTTAGAAGCAACGTCAAAATTTGACATAATGTGCACTAGTAGTAGTAGTAGACATGAAACCTCGTCGGCTACAGTTTACAAAGCATTTTTGTCTTGCGTTTTATTGTCTTTCTTGGAAAATGTCAACTTGATTGTTTTAATAACAATTGGTTCCTTGTACTTTAAAAGGAGGAGATAAACTTAATAATCAAATAAGATAATTTTCACTGAAATTTCATTTAGACCTATGGCTGATAGTGGTGGAATAGGAAATAGTAGGTCTGATCTTATAGTCATGGTATCAGTAACAGTAGTAGGCCTAGTAATAAGCGATAAATTTACTAGAACTAATACTAAAGCACAACAAAGAAGAGAGCTATGTGTGTGTATGAAAGCACATTATGCTAATATAATAGTAAATTGACAAACAATAATTTATAAGCATAAAGAAGTGGTTTTATTTCAGGGAACATACTTAAGTTTCAACAGAAAAAGGCAAACCAGTGTTCTTTCGAAACATAAATAAAACCTTTTTTTTGTCAATATACTACTAATGAAGAGAGCTGTTGAGCACTTGGCTAATTTGAATGAATGCTGATAAAACAGAGATGTGAAAAAGCTATGATTTGTAAGATAACATCACCTGACACAGTATTCAGGATGGATAAGAAAACAATACAAAAACAATGTCCAGTTTGGAGATATTTATCATTATTTAAACACCGACAGACATTTATCAAAAATTTGACCATTGTCTTATACTTGGAAAGAAATTATTAGCATAATCATGGTGCTAGACAGCTTTGATCATGAAAAATAAAATTGCACCTAACTACAAGAGACTTACCAAATCACCACAGATTTTAAGAAACCAAAGCTCTGTCGAAACCAATAATCCAAAATTATGTTCAGCTTTAATTTGATGATAACAATCAGCCTGTTTTGCTTAATTATACCATTCTTCACCTTCTTGATACTGTTAATAATCACTTTATTTCAAAACAAGAAGAACAGATATCATCATGATTTGTTAAGTAAAATAAAACAGCATAGCTATAACTTTATTAGTATTACAGATTCAAATTCAGTATTATTCAAGCCAGTGTAATGTATGGTAACAATTACCAGTACATTACACAGCATCCAGACAGAATAATGTTAAATAAGAAATACAAAAGCAATAACAATAAATACTCAAAATGCACTTAAAGGTTGGTTATGTGATATTTAAGATGGAGTTAAGATGGCTACCAAATTTATGAAACACTTAATCAAACAGTCAATTTGTTGTTTTTCCCATTTATATACTTTTATTTTTCAATGCTTTCTAAAAGAAAAAGTTAAATCTAAAAAAATCCATCAATTTCTTACAACACTGCTATTACCAAATATTTCATTTATAAATTTCTGCTTGATATTAAACTTTTTGCTGAACTACAAGTCTATCTATGTAAAAGTTTTCCATGTTCAAAATCAGTTAGTAACACTTATGGTTGAAATTAGGCCTAAACCTTAGAACTATACTAATAGGTCTATTACTCAGTTGCTATCTGTGACAAAGTGCTTACTACTAATCCTGTCCTGTCATTTGCTTGTGAATGACAGTTCTTTTGTTTAATTGTATTGAGCCACAGGTTTTCTTTGTAGGACTTTTATAAAGATAATTCTTTTTTTTTTTTCTTATGGCAATTTATGCAACTGACCACTCGACAACTGATAGACATTTTGTAGGACAGCCACTGTATTTTGCCAATGACAGCTACAAGTGATGGACATGTGATACATGTAGCATGGTTGTGAGAAGGGTTTACATGTCATGTGAGAACAAAGTCTAAGCACCACCACATGACACAGTGTAATTGGCTTACAGACTGCTGCATGAGAACATGTGATATAAACATGTATAATCTCACTAATAAGTGGAAAAGGGTTACAAATAAAATGTTGAAATCTTGTTGAGAAATATTTATAAGTAAGTTTTTAAATGTTAAAGTTTCTATCTGATGTAAAGTTTTCTTTAATATTTATTTCCTTGGATAACAGAATCACAGTATTCAGCATGGCAGCAGTCGCAAATGTCTAGAAATGGCACCAGATAAACAACACGTGCTCATGAAGGAATGTACAGAAAGCCCTCTTCAACAGTGGAAGTTCCAGAATTATAACCCGTCCAATGCAGCAAAAGCATAAATCTAGTCCTAGAAAACTGAGGAGGTCAGAGGTCCTACAGCAATGTTACAATAATGTAACACATTCATATGATATAAGGATTTTTCATTCCAATTGCAAATCAAAAAGATTTTGATTCTGGCTAGTGTTCTAAAACTACTTACCTGGGGTGTTGAGGGAAAATGCTATGGCAAAAAGAATTTCATTGTCAAGCCATCTGTGTTAGTCAAACAGCACCAGAAGTGCCCTTCTGAACTCTTGGTAATTATGTTTTGAAAGTTACAGGATTAAGCGTTTGTCACCCAGTATATTAGTCTTCTTTACATGTTGCATATATACGTAAGCACAGGAAGGTAACTTATTACTATCTCTTTTTTTCAGCTTTTCGATTCTGTTTTACTGCCATCTCTCTCTTTTTTTTGTTTCAAGTTTTTAATAGCAAACATTCCATGATAAATTACTGAGTTTTTGACCTAAAAAGTATATATACATAAAAATGTGTGCCTTACTCAATATAAATATTTATATGTATGCATGAAACAGGTTATAGTGCATTAATAAAGTACATTTCAAAAGTTTTTTTATGTATTATACACTGTGATTAATGCTTCATTCAAAAGCAATAATATATAAAGATCTTATGTTGCTCATTCATTTTAGCATGATTGTAATCTTTAAATAAGGTAGTGGGCTGTAAGTTGTTGTTTCAATCTGCCTCCTCTAAAGTATATCTAAAGATCTAATAGAATTGAGGAGTACAAGTATATTAGTTTGCAAATTTTACTGGTAGTCTGCCTTTACAAAAATTTGATTTTCTGTTCTTATATTTAATTTATATATCTTTAATTGATCCAGTAAATTAATTTTATTCAGCATTATTTTCATCACTAAGGATTTCACAATGCATTTAATAACATAGACTTTATTGTGTAAAATTTTACAGTTTTGAGCTACATGGTTCAGGCCTACATACTTTTGTTTTACTGTAAAAGAAGACATAGCATTTATTTAATTATCATATAATTATGATGGCCTTATGAAGGATATATATATTCAACATATTATAAGACCCACATTAAGAAATTTGTTTTCCTAAATGTCAGATTACACTTTTGTGAGTCAGTATTCTGTGCTTTTGTCCTAACAGAAGAATAACAAAAATTGTAAACTTAACACCTTAAGTTGTTGTTTTTGATTTAAGTTGGAAAAAATTTTGGTTGTAACATTTTTTTCGTAAACCATTTAAATTGCAAGAAACAACCTTTAGTGACCAGTGTTTTGTTTTTTTTCCACTGGTTCCAAAATTAGGGTTAATTTTCATTTAGTACTTGAGGCATTGCTTTTGCATATTTCAGTTGGCAGTTCAAAATTTGAAGTTAGTTATTACCACATAAATGTTAATTTTTGAATAAGTTTACTAAAAAAAATTATGTGTAATCTTCAAAACTAAGACTGAACATACAAAAATTGAAAGATTTAAGCCTTCAAACTAATTATTTTGAAATTAATGTCTTTTACTTCTTTTCCCTTTAGAAATTTTATTATTTTTGTTTCACAATTAACACATTGATCAAACTGAAGATGGCAAGTAAGAGGGTGTTTCCAATTGTACTTAATCTGCATAAATGTTTTTTCCATGTTTATCATAGAGTATTAACATGTCTTGATACAGTACTGTAAACAAAATTAATTGAATAGGCAGAACTATTCAAATATATCTTCATTCTTAACACCATTTATTAGGAGGATTAGATTCTTCTGTTGTCTTTTAGATATTTAAAACACCAGAGTATCAAGTCACCTATCTGATGCTTTTGAAGGTATTAGAAAAACACTTAAGGTTTCTGTTTGTACATACATGTAATGTTTTTGATATTGTCCATATTTAAATTCAAATTTACAGGTGTCTAAAACACAGTACACACTTGCATTATTTTCTGCTTATGTTCACATGTGCCAATATTTTAGGTTTAGTTGTGAATGTTACTTGATTATAGTCAATCTTGCCCAGGTGAAATAAGTTTGTTTTGAATTCTAAATTTTAATATTATATTATGGGAATAATAATTAGAAACAAGTTTTGTTTCATAAGTTTGAATTTTTCAGAAATTTATCTTGTATTATTCCAGTTAAAAATATACGACTTCTGCTTCTACAGTACAAAAGGAGCTCTGTTAGTTTATTATTAGGAGTAGAGTAGTATATGTTACAAGTGCTGGTTTCTAAAACATAAACAAAGGTTACAGCACTCGGGAAAAACAAACAGTTGAGAATGTGCACACGTAAAAAGTGTCACAATTCTGTATTAACTTGTCTGACCTTTTTTTTTCTTCTTTTTAACTCTCATATTTTATTTAGTTTTTGAACATTAAATTATCATTCTGAAATAGGGCCTACTTTTAGCTTGTTTATAAGTAACAAATCCTCTTACCATTCTTTATTAAACAAGCCTTACTCTTAGCATACTGGTTCTATAGAAGAATAGCTAATGTTAATTTATATACTATCTACAAACTGGACAGTTCTAATATCGTTTTCTAGGTTATTCCTTGATTAAGTACAAACTGTAAATTACTCTGAAGTCTAGCATACCTCTGAACTACAAACTAATGAAAACAAGTTGTCCATAAATCGTCTGACACATTAACATCCTTTATATGAGCAACATTAGGCTAACTTACAGTAAGGCAAGTCTGCAATAATAAGAACATTTTCTAATTTCATGGGCACCACTGTAGTTTTTATGCCTTAAGACTTCAGATGCTGATTACAAATCCTGTTGAAAAATGCAAATTATGATAAGTGTGAATACTAATATGAATTACATCCAAACAAGTATGATCATAAACTAAGTACTATGTATATAACTTGTTCTTTCCAGATCACAGTATTGGCTATGATTGGTTAGAATGCATAAAAGTTGCCGACTCCTAGCAGTTGTGCATACTGCAGTGTAAAACTGAAAAATCTAAATCAATGTGCTTCAATGCATAGGTCTGTTGTTTAGAAGTTGTGTCTTTACAATGCATCAGAGGAAGAGTTGTGGAAATCAATGTCATGGCTGTTTCTTGTTTTCCCACCATTCATTTCAACCATAAAAATGTTTTGTTTGTTTAAATGTTATTTTCACTGACAGTTCTGTTTTTGTTTGTCAGTGTGATTCAAACATATTTAAGTTAATTTGTATGTGATTTGACTTTTGTTTTGTGAGGGAAGTATATGGCTATGAGAAGTAAAGAAGAGTTTTTTTCTCAGCTAGTCCAATAATTATTTAAAAGAAACAAATATGCCATTACTTCAAAGGCATTACTGTGATCAGTTGACTAGTATGTAAGCTACCAGATATCCTATTCAAACTACATTTCATGTGTGTATCAGTAAAACACAGTTAAAGGGTAAAAACAGGGTTCAATATTATGCTTGTTATTCCAAAACACTAAGATAGTTTATTGTTTAACTGTTGTACACCTTAGTAACATGGATTAATAGCTGACTGAGTATTACACCATACAAAAAAAAGTTGTAAATGTTTCATTATATGTTATATAAATCTCCCAAATAGCAAAACTGTTGTTAGTGGATTTCTTTTGTGATAGGTGATTTTGTTTTTAGAAGGATATCTGTGTTCTTACTGGAAGTAATGTACAAGTTCCTGATATTTGTACAGTGTGCCTTATTGATTGAATAAAGCAAAAATTTTAGCAAGTGCTGGATACTATCAAAATCTTTGTTGGATATTTAAAATGTATTGTTTGTCTACTCTATTATAAGATATCTAAATAACTTAAACTTTAATTTGTTTTGTTTTTTATCTACTGTTAAGAAATTATATTCATTAGGGCTAAAATAAAGGTGAAGCTTGTAATTCAGAGATGTCTTCCAGAAATGTTATGTTTTAATTAGAAGGATTCTGACAGTTATTTTTATTTACAGAAAGCCAGCAGCGATCCCTTGGTACTTAAAAAATCTATCAAATAATTTACCATTGTTTTCAAATCTAGTTCTTATTAAATATTATGAAAATATTTATAAAGTGTTAATTAACCATTTTTCTCCATTTATTAAAGCTTTTTAATTAAGAACTTTCAATTTTCAAAACCAAGTCAGATTCTAGATATTATGGAACGATAGTAACCTGAAAATTCATGTATAGTTGTTTAATTGTAATATGCTGTTACTAGTTCATTAACTATAAAAAAAAAAAACATTTTAAAATCAAGTAAGAATTGGATGCATATGTTTAAAATTGTAGTGATACTTTGTGAAAAGTTTGAAACTCCTGTTAAACTTCTTTGAAATATTTTTTTTATTTTAGTGCAAAGATCTAACATAAATAATCCATTTGGTTTATAAAGTGGGAAACCTTCAACTTTTTTAAATCTTTTGTTTTTTTTCTGACAAATGAAATACAAATACCACATTATAAAAACTAGTACCTTTCCAATATGTAACAATGAGCTAGTATAGAAAACCAGCATTTATAAGCCCATTGATTTTCAATGTCAAAAGATATATTTTAATTTGTTGGCATCATTTCAGAAAGGGTCAATGTCTACAGAATTATACTTTTAAACAGACTCTAACATCAGATACCATGGCATCCACATCAATTATACAACTTTCCCATCAAATTTTAGCACATTAGCTTGGAAAGATAGAAGCATTTACCATAAAACTTCAGAGAGCAATAAAACAAAATCACTAAGTCATGGAAATTTACCGAAATATTATAACATGCATGTTACAAATCTATCTAAATAATATGATTGTGTTTATCTGTCCAGAATTTTTCTCTCAAATTTCTTAATCAAACACTACAAATCTTGTATCATTAGAAAGTTGGGATTGTGTATTGGCATTTTCATTCAGAATCACCTTACCTGTTTTTTGCTTAATCAAACTTTACAATGCAACAAATATGGTGCATGATGGCATAATGTCATTGTCTTGAAGTAATAACTGGCTTCAATTTCAACTTTTGTTTTTTATTTGCAAATGATTTCACACAAACACTTAACCTGCATGTAATTTCCTAAAAAAATAACATTACACTAAATGCAGTTGCATTGGGCTTTCTCGACTTATTTAGGTCTAAAATATGCAAGCACAGTTCATTTAAACCATATGCTTATCACTTTGTGAACACTCATTCAGAGGTTTCTGCATAATCAGCTAAGTTTGCCTTCGTTACAATGTTATATTTACTTTACTTTGCAGTAATTTAGCTTTGGTTTGTTTCATAAACCTCTATGAACACGTTTTAGCTACTTTTTCTTTAGTACTGGTTTTATTCTTCATTTCTGCAAGTTTCAGTGTTTCAGCTCATATCACCGTGTCATACACTCAACACCCATAACTGTTTCATACTTTGTACACTATTATAAATACCATTACTTTATTGTTTACTTTACTTAGTTTTATTAAATAAAGTTACTTCTAGGTGATTTTGTTTGTCTGACCGCATAAACGTTTTTCAAATAGATCAGGATTTATCAATCTAATGCATAATGCCTGCGTGAAAATGATAGAATAAGGAAAATTCAAGCAAATGGCAAAATAACTGCCACAAATGTTCTGCAGGTTGCAGCTAGTGTTCATCATAATAATTGCTGCATGTGTTTTGGACATAAATTACTGGGTTCATGGTTTACTTATCTAAAATATATCTAGTTTTATTTACAATAATCACAATGTGAATGAATACAATCCTTTGAACAAGCTGAATGCATGCACTTCGTGTGATTTGGGGATTAATAGCCAGATCAAAGACCACTAACTTTCAAGTATAACTATCCCTAATTTAGAACTGTGGACCACAGAAAGGCCAACCAGTCTTCAACACCTACTGTCTATGATACTACTGTTAATCAAAGAGCAGGATTGACTGTCACAGTTATAATGCCCCACAGTTGAAAGTGTAGAGTATCTTCAGTCTTCAATTGGACCTTTCAATCTGCCCTTGGCACACTAACCACTAGGCCACATCTGGGCCACACTTTAAGATTTGATCCAGATTAAAACACTGAACATATCATTGGCAATACATTGATTTATGAAAACTGTAAATAATTAACATAAATTATATGCACAAAATAATTTTTAAGCTCACTTTTAACCATTATAAAATTTAACATTAAATAATAATTACTCAAAAATAAAATCCCTAAATGATGCACAACAGAAACGTATATAAGCAGAGTGCACAGTTTGTTTTGACCTAAATGACTTAAAAAATAAAACTATTCAAAGCTCGTACACACATGTAACTACATTTTAATGTTTAAATCACTCCTGTTAGAGTGAATTATGATATTATTATATCTAGATTTACTGTGCAAATAATAATGATTTCATATTACAATGAGTGTATGTAAATGTAATGGATAAAATATAGGGTATCAACTCAACATCTGTTTCACAAATTTATAATGTACCAAACATGATAAAAATTATGAAGTATCTCAGCCACAAAGATTTGTATTTAGCTCCATTAACAAGACTTGTGCTTTTATTCCAAATCCACAAAAAATTAGAACCATCGTTAATAACTCGTGGAACACTTGATTCATTTTAATCTGTTATTGTACCAACAGTGAAAGGTTTGCACTGTTAAAATTACAACTAAAATGGTATTTTGTTTGATACAAACAGTGGTTCCAAGTTTCAATAGTAGTCCTTCCAGTTTGTGAAACATAAGTTACTAATCTAAGTTTGACTCTCAACAACAACAACAACAAAAATTTGACATGGAGACATTTACTTTTATGGGCATCTGTAAGAAAGTAATATATGTATACTTTCCTTTTAAAATATTTTTATTAGATAAATAGCTCTGGTCAATAATCTCAAATTCCATCAACATGTGAACTTGAAAATACAGAAAAAAAGCCTTGTACAAGACGTATTTTCTAGTGTTTGATAGAATTTGAACAATACCAACAGATTAATTGAATAATGAAGTAAACTGCTCACTATAACTCCTGAAACACAACTATAGTGTACATGTTTGCAATCTCTAGTTGAAAATGGAACTTGCAGCTTTAAATAATTGGACGGCTGTAGTAAGTAATGTATCAAAATCAAATTTCAGTATTTATATTTAACTACCTTTAGCAATTTGTAAAACACAATTTTACCTTGAAGTAAATAGAAGAAATTCATGATCTAAAAATAAAAAACTTGTTAACAAACTAAGTAATAATTAATCTTCTTCAAAATTTTGTCAACTAATTAAACTCCTTTTTTCATCTATTGCATACACAACATTTACTTTGAAAGAAACTTCATGTTTATTTCATCCTTTGTATTCTCTAAGAGCAATGGTGAGAGTAGGAAGTCATTCATGTTCTACAAATTTTAACTTCAAAACACCCTATTTTCTAATGAGGCATTTTTAGTTAATATCTTTGATGTAAACTTAAAAACATTTATGAATAAAATTTCTTGTTGTGATATAATTATTTTAATAATAAATATATTCCCTGCTATCAAATATATGATATTTTACAAGATAATTTAAAATGTTTATTACATGCTTAGCCTTTAAAAGTAAATTTCTACAACTTTTGATCAGCCATAATAGTTTTAATTAAAAAACAAACAAGTTAAACTTTCATATTAACTATAGAGACCTTACTGTTGTATTATTGACATCACCTACTGGCCTAACTGCAGAAACAAAAAATCTTTCAACTTCATAGTTCAAGGACAGATAAAACTTTTAGTGAAAAGTAATGTGTAAACTTTTAATTTCAGTCATATGAACCTATTAGTTGTGGCTAACTTTAAACATCCTTTTCATAGACTTATCACACAGTTTCTTAATGATGATGTCTTGCTTATGATGTTTCTGGAAAACTAGTAGCACTTTTTTCTTCATTTGGCACTACAGTATATTGCTGTAAAGGTCTTCTGAAAAATCCACACTAAAATTGAAATAAAAAAATTGCACTTAAAAATATTTTTCAGTAAATTTATTCTATCACTATAATAAGTTTGCAAAGTTGAAAGTAATTGGTGTTCACAATTCACTGAAGCTAGAGAAAGAAAAAAGTTTTTGATGACTGAAGTTGAAGACCTTACAAATTACGCATAAATTTGTGATTTATTACTAAAAACTAGATATTTTCATACTGCATAACCAAAAGCATACATGTCAGTGATATTTTATCAACTTCTTCTGACAGTTGTGAAAACCTGAAATAAATACATGTAAATAGAAGAGTCTAAAAAAACCTTTGATACTGAGTGTATTAAAAATAAAAAATAAATAGTAAACAAAACATTTTTTTTTCAATGAAAATGTGACTTTGTGAACCAAAGTGATAGTTATAAGTTGGTTGTGTGGTAATGATATTAAGTAATTACTTCAAGATGGTTCAAATGGCAGTTTCTGTAAGACATTTTCAGTCAGGCCAGATTAACAAATTACAACATAGCATAGGGTCCCCCCCAGCTGAATTGAGGGGGAAGGGTGCACACAAGATCAGTCTTCTTTGAAATGATGCTTCTCAATTATTTGCTAATTACTTACTTAACTGTTTCAATAAATGATGATACATATTAGCTGAGATTTCACAACTTACCCTCCACAGAATTATAACAACAATTACAAGTAAGAGAATGCCACAAGCCACAGAAACTATGATAAACAGAATGGGTGTTTTCTTCTCTGTTTTAGAAAAATGTACATCCGAATAAGCTTTCGTTTCAGCCTAGAACAGAAAGTAGGGATTAATTGACATACAAAAATTACCTTTAAAATGTTTACTCTTAAATGTACCAGCTCTTTGTTTTAGTCTTTTAGAACTTTTGATATCATTTTACATTTATAAGTTACAGCTATGTACATACTTCATTTCTTGATAGTTTAGAAGAAATGAAGGATTAATCAAGATCTTTCAAGGTTTAATAATTATATATGTTAAAGAATTTTTTTCACCACTCTGGAGAAAAAAGAAAAATCTTTAACATATATATATAATAATTAAACAGTTTTATTCACTGTATAATATTGAATAATGAATTCAAAAATGTTATCCACATACGGTGAAGTAAAACAGACTCAAAACTCTGTAGTGTTGTCAATTATTTAAAAATGCAACTGTAGGTTTAGGGAATTTCAGGTTTAATGTACATTATCAAAAAATTATGAAATATCAAACATATGCCACAGAAATTTTCTGAAAATCCCTTCCAAAATATCTGTTTTTCTTAAACACCTTTTTACAAACTGCACCAAAACATATGTTCAAATACAAAATAAGAAACTTACTTTAGCTTCATCATTGGTTGTGTTTTGTTCTATATCTAGGCTAGATATAAGGTGGATCTTCCCTCTGGAAATAATACTAACGTAGTCTACTTTTGGATATTCCTAGTAAAGGGGCAAAAAATTAAATTTTCAAAGTAAATTAAAAAATTACAAATTTATTTTCTATTTGATATATAAGTAATGACACTAGACTATAATATTGAACTTAGTTTCCAAAAGGTTACTACAAAGTTTTTTCCTTTTAGAGTATATTTAAAAGGCAAAAACATAAGCAGCAGTGAGTGGACAAAAACTGTTTATTTGGATAGGGATTGAGTGTTAGCATAAAAGTAAAAAGTCCTCAAAGTTTACACAGCCCTGTCTAAAACATGTTTGACACTAAAAAAACCATCAATTAGATATCTCACCTGGACAAATGTGCTATTCCAAAGAAGAGCCTTTATATTTATAACATTACTACTTCTGGCTTCAAGATTATTAATGGTGCATGTGATGTTTAGACATTTGATCTTGAAACTGTCATTTTCACAGTCCTACAGAAGTGAATAAGTTTCGAAAAAATGTGGTTCACAGACTCATAAACTTTTCATACAATCTGAAGTTGTTTTTTTAAATAACACAAACAGCACAATTTAAGTGTATTTAATTTACCTATTCAATCAGCATTAAAATGTAAATTAGCTCAAAGAAATAGATTTTTTTTTTCCCCACAAAGCTACACAATAGGCTATGTGCAGTCTGTCCACCAAGAGGAATCAAACCCCAGATCTGTAACTCTGTGAATTCACATTAACTCACCGGGTAAAACATATCAAAATTAAACTATACCAATAAGTAATTCATATTTTATAACACTGAATAAACATTTTTTTGTTAGCAAACTTTATATATAAGTAAACCAGTTTGATCCTGGTGTGCCTGGATAAACTGTCATCATCTCTGTTGTTATTAAGTCAAATAAAAAAATAATATGCTTGAAAAACGGGGACATACAAAATCCCCCCTAGATGATATCAGTAAAATCAAATCCAAGTTATAAAAGTGCCTTCATGTAGGAATAACCAACAATGATTTCAATGGATTCATAATTTGATCCTAATGTGCCTGGATAAACTGTCATCATCTCTGTTGTTATTAAGTCAAATAAAAAAATAATATGCTTGAAAAACGGGGACATACAAAATCCCCCCTAGATGATATCAGTAAAATCAAATCCAAGTTATAAAAGTGCCTTCATGTAGGAATAACCAACAATGATTTCAATACATCAAAAACTATTTCAATGGATTCATAATTTTACGTCTAGTTTTCCTAACATTTATGCAAGTTATTTTAGGGGAAAAACAATCTGATTCATCTATGTAACCATAAGGTCTACTTCAGCAAAACAAAATTTGTTCTTAGTAAACTACACTTATGAGTAAACTTTACCTTCATTTATCTCAAACTAATAAATATATTACTGGTAATTTCTAAGCTTACAAAAGCCTATGCTACAATTACCTATTTCCATGCAAAAATTAAACACTTTGATTAAATTTTCAAAGTATCAATAAAATCACCACTAAAAAAAAACAGCTATGGAGAATAAAAATTTTCACTTTGTTTTTCAGGTTTTATAATTAAGTGTCAACAAAAATATATTTTGATTTCATTATCACAGCTATTACCAATGCCACATATTTGACAGCCTTTCCATCAACCAATTTTTCCTCGTGCACAGTAGCTGCTTCTCTCTTCCTTCGAATAGTATTTACACTATTGCTTCCCTTTTCAGCCAAGTTCTTAGACTGTGACAAACGAAACAAAAAAATAAATTATGAGATTAACTGGTATGCTACATATAGAAAATAATGTCATGACCAGCCATGAGAAATTTAATCTACTACTGTAATGGAAATTAAACATAAGCAACAGGATTGGACATATTCAGGAATTATAAGTGCAATTTAAATAGGATAACAAAAACGTGTTTTTCCTCCATCTGTCAATGTATATTTGACATGAAAAGTCCATAAGACACTTGTACTATAGTAATATAATTTTTTACTTCCTCACCTCAAATTTTCTTGTGTGCCTAGCAAGTGCTCTACCAACTGAACCAAAAAGTTAACCTGCTGATTATTGCTAATAAGGCAGTTTTTTTAAAATTACCACAGTACTCTACTCCTTTGTTGATATACATATAAAATTTAATTAAGCTACATACTATATATATATATATTGTAGAATTTTTAGTATAACATTAGTAAACTTTTGTTTTGTATTTTTATTACTTATAGGTATTCCCAAAGACAAAAGCAAACTGCATATAATCAAAACAGATAAAACAGAGGTCCAACAACATGACAATGAGCATCTTAATGCTACAATCAAAACCATTTACAGGTTAACAAATGATCTTTTTTAGAACTGTTTTCTTTGGTCAAGCAGTCAAACACCAGATTCATGAATAAATCCATTCTGTCTTTTAAGTAATGATAATATTTAAGAACATGTGATATACAAGTAGCTTTAAGCATTACAACAGAATGATATCAATACAAATCAAATACTAAACTGTAACCATAAATTAAGCACACATAAATGCTTTGAATAATTTCTTGCAAATTTGTGTTTTAAGTTTAAACAGGCTGATTTTTAAGCATTTCAATACCATTTTTTTTCTTTAGTATTAATTACTGGATGACAGTTACATTATATCTCATGTTCAATATGATCATAATAGGCTTTTAATTTAATGCTTAGACTCATTTAGACTTAGATGTTTGTGATGTCAAAATACAAAGTCTATAGTTTCATATGAATTAAGAACTGAAACTAACATTATTGACAAGCTAGAATATAAAATAAGAACCTCTTTTTTTTATTTCCTAAGATATCGCTCATGTACTGACTCAAACATAGTGCCTCCACCTCTTTCCATTTTTAGAAATGCTCACTTATATACACTTACTTCTATATATGACATGAATAACCAATCGAAAGCTCAGAGTATCCCCCTAGTGGTTTCTCAGCCATTTTGACATGTTATTGTGTTAATCTCATTCTTTTCACACAAGATTTCAAATGATAAGGTAAGTCTTTAGTGACCTCAAAATATCATATTTTTTAGACCCAAATACAGCTTAGTTACTACGCTTGATAAATTATAGTGGAATTCTATGTTATCAATATAGTAATTCATGATTTTTTGGGTTATTTAAAGTGTATATATAAAACCTCCACGTGGAAAATTTCATAAGGCTTAGCAACCTATGACAAGCAGCAAACAAGTACAAAGGTCTTAACCATAACTAGAAGAGATAATTGTTTGCTTTACTTCTTTATTTACTGTTCTATGTTTTAAGAAAAATAAGTTTAAAAACTTATTTGAAAATAGTATTAATGTATAATCATTGAAATAAGACTGTATTTTATAAAATACTTGTCCACCAAAACACAGCCAAGACTGGTCATTTTGTAAAGATTAAAGGTCAGTCTTATATTATTGGAAATGGTATCATGAGTGCATGTGTGCAGCATCATTGTAACTTCTGTATTGTTAGCCAGGCATCTCTGGAAGGTCAATATAATAAAAACAATAAATATATATCAATGCATAATGTTATGAAACTTAAGCTATTTAGACTAAACTTTTGTGTTATAATATGTCATTATTCTAGAGCAAAAAAAGCATAGTTTAAATCTATTTCCTAATTTTTTATGGTGGTTATAAGGCCAGTCAAATTGACATACCCCATAGAGTTAGGGTAGAGAAAATAACAGAAAAAATATAAAAGTTTACTGAATACAAACACTTGAAATGTACTTAGGAGGTTTTAGAGATTATACAAATAATATTTGAGATTTTTGGGACAAACAATAGTTTTTTTAGTTATAGCATAAAAATCACTTCGCACTTGGACGGGTAATAAAACAGACTGGATATTTTCACAAGCAAATCTATAAAAAAATACTTCATTAAAAACTGATTTTTTGTGTACAAAAGACTTGTAATCTTTACTAAACATCTACCAAGTTTTGTGAAGATGCATTTATTGTTAGAGTATAAATATTTAAGTTGTATATAATATACCAAGCTCATCGCAAAAGGGTTAAAATGTTTACTATAACTTATGTTATAATTCTTAAAGAATAAAATATTTGAGTTGATCTTTAGTTATTCTTCTTTTATGAGGGTAGCGATAAATATAAAAATTACCAGCATTACTTCTTATTTTTAAAACAGTATGTTAACAATGAATTAAGTCAGTCACTTTATATCATTACAAACAAACATTTTAATGACAAGTAAAAATCAAAAGTCTTACCCCAATACTATGAGGATTCACCCATTTTTCATCCAATAGGCAGTAGCCATTCCCATAAACCTGTTTAAAATATATATACTATGATTTACAAAACAGAAAGTACAATCACAATTCTTGAAATATGTATTTATAAAGTAATATAAATAGTTCTGGAATTCATTTATAAACATAAATAAACTACACAATACTTACACCAAAAATTAACAGTTCAAATTAATGAATTTTAATTATTTGTAAGATATATTTTTGAGTTGTATACCATATACTTCTTCCTAAACTTTTCCCAAGGTGGGTTTCAGCATAAATTTATTATCCCTAAATGGTTTAAATTTGTATTATCAACTGTGACTAAAAAAAATATGATGGTTAATAATTTGAGACTCACCAAGACCACAGTGAAGCAAACTTGTGTGCTAATTATTTTTTTTTAATCTTATAATTAGATAACGTCAAGAAATGAAAGACCATATGATAAAATCAGCATTTATTTGTATATGTTTCTCACCACCATTTGTTTTATAGCTATCTGAAGAGAGGTTTTTTAAACAAATTTCATTCCATATTTAATACATAAGCCTAAAAAAGTCAGCAAAAGCTTCTTTCCATGCAAGTAAATTCTTAGTAGTAAACTTTTTTTTTTTGTAAATACTTGCTTTATTCACTTTGACTAATTTTTTATTCTAACCAAACACTCAAAAGACATTTGAAAACTGCAGAAAAATTGTAATTTCAGCCCCGTGACTTAATCATTGATCACTTATGCAACTACAGCTTTCTTTCTTCTTAAACAAACAATTTCCAATTTGAATTGACACCTGCCTTCTTGTTTTAAAAACCCAGTCCTATCTTTACCTACGCACATTGATACATGTAGTAGGGATATATTGTCTAAAATGATTAAATAGTGCTAAATGTGAACTTAAATTTACAGTTATATTTAACAGCAAGTATTTGTTCACATTCATGTTTTATATCCATTTATAAAAATAATTACTTCAAGATACTTCTTTTAGAATTCAGGGTATGAGGTGGAGAGTTATCAAAACAATAATTTCTATATTGTCTGAGTCATTCTTTTTACCCTTTCGATCAAACTACAGTATAAAAATAGGTAGTTTTATATTATAAAATACTACTGGTACAAGTGTTAGCAACATTCAAATATGTTACTTGTTTTCCCATCTGTATACCCCCTTATAAAAAGAAAGTAGAAATAATCATTGTAAATATAAAAGCTAATAAATATCTAGTGAACGATTTTTACCTTTGGGGTTTCCATTAAATAAAGCACATATTGTTCCTTATTTTTGTTATTTCCAAGTTCATATGGCCAAGAGATCTCAACCTGTACCTCTCTGGCTCGAAATGGTCCATCATTGATAATCTGGAAAAGTTAAAAGTATTTTAAATGTAAGCTCTTTGCTAGATATATCAAAAAAAGGCATTAAAAAGAAATGGATATTAATTTTTCCTGAATCACAAACATTATTACTTAGATGTATTACTGTGAAAGGCCTCTTCAATTCTAATCTCTAAATGAGCTTGGAAGAGAAAAAACAAAATTTCTTCTGAACAAGAAACTTTAGAAATGTCATTTTTTCACATAATCTTATACTCGGTTTGGCTCTGAAATACTACAACTTTTTTTTTCAGTTATATATTTTTAATAAAAAAAATACTTCTGTAATACACAAAGCTAGAATATCAACATAAAATATAACAAACTGAGTTACAAATAAAAAGGAGTTCCTATTTCACAGACATGCATTTTGTTTTTAGCTTATACAGCACAAATTCCAAGATGAATAAAAATAATTTCTTGATCCCCTCCAAAAAGAAAAACATTATTTTACATAGTAGTTAAATCAAAAATTAACTCCCTCTAAACACCAGTGAGAAAGCATCTGAACAGCTCTACAACCATAGGTATCATAGTGTGTTGCAGTTGAAACTGCTATTTACACCCTTCCATAATTAGTGAAGATATTTATTTAGATATTCTGATAATTTTTTATAAGCTTTCACGCAAGTGTTCTGCATGTTTCTAACATTCTTCTTATAAACTTTACAGGAAAATAGTCATAAACTTGCACAATTCTCTAGCTCAGACAAATCTTACCTTCCATAATGTCTGTTCTATATGGCTTATACTTGTTTGATCTTGTTTAAGTGTCCTACCCTCCTAGAGTGAAGTCATACTCATTTGCAGGGGTGGTAAAGAGATTTGTACAAGTTAGTATATTATGGAATTTATATCTTGTATAATAGAAATGATCAATGAGGTAGATAATCTAGGATTGTACGATACAACGCTAGGACTTTAGTTTGACTTAAAAGTGTGTTATCTTGTTTATAATTCTTGTATTTGTCTTATGCAAAACTTTTGCTTTACAACTCCAGCAACCAGAGAAGGCTTCATAAAAACTTTGAAGCTAGCCAGTAGTGGTATAGTCCTGGCATTTTATTTACTTGTTGATAAGAATGTTTTATTCATTCACTTGTGTTTGCATATTTTACTACTGCTATCGACATTCAAAATTACTCTCTGCAAAACATTTTCCAAGTGTTATATCATAAATACTTATTACTTTCTGTCAAACATCAATATACCTGAATGCCACAAGTTGAGGAAAGAAATGCAGAATCTTTCCAAGTTGCCCAAATCTTATAGCATGTAAGGTGAATTTAAGCCTGTCAGTCCTGAACTTCTGTTTAATTTACTTTACAGAATACCAAGTTGAACCAGAAAACAGGTCAAGAAAAATGAAAATACCATATATACAGTATCATGCAATGTAAAAAAAGTAAATTATTTTATTAGAATGAATGGTTCATCACAAAACATATGCACTCAGGTTAATTCAGACAAGTTTGCAGAAGATGGTCAACTAAATGGCTTGTTTCTTATAAGAAATACATATCAATTAATTATGACTAAATAAGAGCTTTTCAGGTGATGATCCAAGCTGACAGGTAAGGTGAAGACATTTTTGCTGAGATTAAACACATTTTCTATGACAACCTTTACTAAGCCAAAACAGGAATAGTGGCCACAAGATATATGTATGTGATCTAAAAACATTTAGCTGTAAGATTCCACCTGATTAACTATTAACCCATTCACATTGGGTAAGTCAAAGTGTGCATGTTAACTTTTTAGAGTTACATTCAAAATGTAGTTAAACTACTTTATTATCAATATATCAAATAAACTTAAGATCAAAATGCAGTTAATAAATCAAATTTTAATACATGTTTTAAGTTCTTGATTGTATAAGCAAATATTCAAACAAAATTCCTCAATCTCCCCAGTATGAGAATTGTGAAATTTGCTCTATAAATCTCTCTTCTCTAATCTATTTACAACCCCTCCAAGAAGTATGGCATTTAAATTAAATTACTCATAAATAATATAGATATTATTCAGGCAAAGCATGTTTTTATAGTCTTCAATCTTATTTGTTTGCGGTGCCATAAACTAAAAAATCAGACCCATTTGTCGTATCTTTTGCACAAATTGCCAATAGTTCTTTCTCTTATGTTTTATACTACATTACGTATAACCAATAGAAAGACAAAGTTTTAATATATCAAATGATGTATTATATTACACTGTACAGGACATTCTACATTTCATTCTTCTGTTTCAAATTTGTTCTCATGGGAATTGCATCAATGAGCTTAACTGAACTTTTAAAGGCTCTTATTGCATATTTAGAGAGCCAGGAAAATTATGATAGTTATACGGTAATGTTTTTTTTTCATGGTATTATTCTGTGTTCTTAGGTGCAGTATTTAATTAAATATAAAATTATTTAGTTCAGTAAAACCATCCAGGTAAATCCTAGTTTTTCATGGGTATTCTTTATTTATTATTTTAAAAGTAAATAAGACGTAAAAATAAAAAACTTATTAGGTTACAAGATCTTGTAAAATAAAATAACTCATTGCAAAAGGGTTAATATCTATAGGATGAGTTTCATCATTTTTGTTAAGTATTCAAGCATCTCAGAAGTCCTAACTATGTTAAAAATTAGTTACTGTTACTACAGTGGTATTCCAATGGATAATTTGATAACAGGAAATGATTACTTGAAGCAGATTTATTGCAATATTAATAACCAAAAAAATCACAAAGCATTTTAAAATGGAATAAAGACTGCAACAGTTACACTATGTTAATGTTAATTAACTTCGGTAAAGCTCAGACTTAATAAGCAATTCACATGACAATAGGTACCTCATAGGTGTGAATAACAGGGGTACCAACATCAGTCTCAGACATCATCACTGTCTCTTCTTTAATTTCATCACTATATAATACTTGCTCTGGCTTAGATACACTGAAATTTGATATTAACAGAAACTTGAACTAACAATAATTTAATTTTACTATATACAAACATTTTCAAGCATAACATTACAGATAATATTACTCATTCCAATAACACTGAAAGAACTAAGTCATGTACAAAGCATAAATATTAACTTCTTAATATTTTATAATTATCTCTTCAAAGTCTATTTACTTTGACAAGGGAGAAATGCTGGTTATATGTAAACTTTTGGACTGTATGATCTTTACTTCTAAAAGGATCAGCAGAAGCTTCCATGACTTTGATCAGTATTGTGAATTCTTTATGGCATCTTAAGGACAGTGTTTTAATATGAACTTTATATATTATATATATAAAATATTAGCACATGAATATGTTCCAAATAAAACTTGCTATAACCATTTATTTTAGGAAAAGTTAGATAGTTACATTGTATGTGCCACTGTTTTTTATATCTTCCTCAAGAACTTTTTATTTATTTATTATCTTAATACTTTCCATAAATTACAATAACTCAAAATGTAATTAAAAAACATTTTAAGCAACTGAACTTGTACATGTAAAAGATTCTATGATCATATCAACAGACAAAAACAAAAGTGAAAGAAATCTTACCCACGTAATTTTAGTTCTGCAAGCCGTATAATTTCAAGCTCGAAGTGGGAGGTAGTATTCTCTGCTGTATTCACACTTGTACTAGAAGTAGATTACTACCTGATAAATTTGTATATACTCAAAGGATTTCTGCCATAAATACGATGATGTATTATACCAGTAGTCTTAATATTAAGGTGTTAAGATTATCATCTACAAAAGCTAATAACTTCTCCATCAATGACTACATTCACTATACAAATGATTACATAACTGATAAAATACTAAATTCACATTTATATACTCTTCAAATGCAAGTTTTTTCATTTCAATTGCTGCAAACATAATTCAAAGATAAGTCGGAACTTCTAAAATTAGCTTTTATACAATAAAACTGGAAAAAAGTATTCTTACGTGTCTTACAACTTAACAGTTGCTTAACTCAGCTTCTTTTCCTGTATTTTGAATCATCTTATATTCCAAAATACTCTTATTAACCTTATAAACTTTTTATTTACATAAATATAATCAGATGTTTTGCCAGATTACCATCTGAAAACCATAAATGTAACACAACAGTGCACTATAATAGAAACTATAACAGAAACCTAAAATGCCAGGGTTGTTACATATGTTATTTTTGAACTGAGAACTACAAAATTACAATGCTAAATAGTAATTAATAGGAATTAGTATTCCCTTTATTACTCTTAATATAAACAGTGCTTGCTAGCGAGGTCTCAAGATTTGTTATGGAAAAAAACATAGTTTGTGTTGAATTTCATAGCTGGAATACCATAAAGTAGTTTTTACTATGCTATAGATATTACTAAACATGTTTTTAACAGTAACATAAAATTATTACTAGATGTTGTCTCGTCCTTTGTATATATTATAACTATGTAGCTACGGGAACATTTTCGGTTACAATTTTTATATTCTTGCTTTATCAAGTAAGACAACATAGCATTTGTGCAACATAATAGAGATGTTTATTATTATTTTCAATTATGTATTTGTTTTTTATGGGTCCTTTGAAGAGATGAGTAAAGCATATAAAAATGGAGCCTCCTCTCAAGGAATTATGAAGACCTACATACAGTTCACTAGTATTGTAATCATTTGTGTATAGTAGAACAGATACTTAGAATTTATTAAAGTATTATAATACAAATGTATATACACATTATTGCTGTACTTTTAATTGGCTTTTGTTCTATATTTTAATTGTTTAAGCATGTTTTTATTTTGTGTTTCTTAACAGTATTTGAGGCCTATATATGAAACAATATGATTATTGTAGTAATTTGCATATAATGCCTGCTTGTTACTGTACTAGGAGATGATTATTTTGTGAATGCCTGATCATTGTAGTAATTTGCATATAATGCCTGCTTGTTACTGTACTAGGAGATGATTATTTTG